TTAGATGAGGTTGATGTGGACTCACTGACTGTGTCACTGTCAAGTTTTTTGCTATTAGAGCATGTACTGCTCATATAAAAAGCAGTAAGCTTTGGCTGATTATCTTCTTTCTTCCTTGAAGCGGTCCTGTCGGCCTCTAACCTTTCGATGGCTTGTCTTAAGAGAAATGATGATGGTAGCCGCAGAGATCCTGATGACTGGCAGCCAAGGGCTCAGTTGAAACCCTTATTTAATTCATCAGAACTAACCCTCAATGATACAGATGACAGTGAAGAATATGCAACAAAGTTCGCTGTTGATGAAAAATACGTGCGTTCATATCTGGAGCAGCTGACAACATAGAGACTCAAAGAATCCATCAGGTCGACTCAGAGGCAAACCGACAAAAGCAAACGAGACCTAAAAACATACAATGAGTATGACTGGCTAGACATGTCTCTAAAAGGAACATTGCAACAACTAACTGTCCAAAACTTGAGAAATATCTAACTGCCCATGGACTTGGCAAGTATGGTAAAAAAAGTGACAAAATAAAAACCATCAGCTGACATGTACTGCGAAATAATGAGCTTAATTCTATAAAAGAGAAACAGTTGGAAATGGCAGACTCCATGTCCTATGCTGACCAGCAAGATGACAAATCACTCTCACATGACGATTATGTAGTTGGTACATTCGGAAGTGACACTGAGTAAGAACGGTAAAGTAAAGAAAATGTTATTTGTTATAACCATTTGGGTATTATGTAAGAAAGGGGGGCCCTTAAATCTTTAACATGATTGAAGCGGGGTGGGGTACCTAAAAAAGTGGGTGCTATTGAGTAGGGGTCTGGAAATAAAAAAAGATAAAAAGATAAAAAAAAAAACAATTTCTCCTCCACCCCCCCTCCCCCCCCTCCAACTTAAATTATGACTGGTCCCTAATTTTATCAAGAAAGCACTTAATTGGAATTTTTTCGGACAGCGAACTTTAAAACCAAATTGATACAGATAGCAACGTTGACAAAGCCAAACAAGCCAAACAGAAAAAAATCACGCATAAGAAAGTAGAGTAGAGTGGAGTAGTCTATGCTACTTTTGGCTCTCGGTCATTAAAGCCTTGCCTTGTCCCTAGGCCTCAGATATCTCCCTAGGCCCTCGGATACGTTTAACCGAAATGCATTGACCGGGATGGTCAGGGAAGACGCCGTAAACGGACTAGTCATCTTAGAAGAAAGCGGAAATCAATTAGAGGCTAACGACAAAATTAAATTAAAACAAATTGCCCGAAACAAAAACTTTTTTATTCCATGTAGAACGCCAGAGGGTTAAAAAGCTTTAACCGTAATTTAACAATGAGATAAAAATATAAGATCTCATGGAAACTTACAACGGTTTTCTTGATTTGCGTATAATGAATTTATAGCAGGTTGTCTCAGCTGCAGTCTGTAAAGATCAAGAGTACAAGACTAAATGCTAAATGCCTCGTAGATTTTAGACAACCGTCAGTGGTTTCTAACACTATAAGAGGTGATTGAATAGAGAATTCTTTTATGTAAAGCTTAGTATCAAATAATGATTCAAAAAAGGAACATACAATATTATCTTTGAGAACAAAGGTTTAGAAATAAAGATAGTTAAACAGGGAGCCCACGTCACACACGTGGTTTCCAACGTGGACCTGCATTAAAATAAAATTACAGATATAGAAAAATGCCTAAGAAGAATTTAAAACCTTTAACAAATTAATAATTTAAGAATTAAAAAATAAAAATTATAAAACGCTCTTAATGTGTCTTTTAACAGATTAAATGTCAGAAATGTTTTAACTTCATTAGAGAAAATGATCCAGTAGTTGGCTGCTGGTAGATCATGAAACGGTTTTGTCCCCAGGAGCTAGCGATATGATTGAGGCCTACAAACGTTATTTTTACTCCGAGTGCTATAGTAAGGAGGGTCTGCAATAACAGCTCTTAAATTAGTCATAACATTAATGGCATCAGTTAAGATAGCTTGGAATTTAGAACAGCATTCCTTTTGGCGTGGTCATAGTAATGTCTTCTAGGGTTAGGGTTAGGGAAAATGAGCTTGGATTTAACTAACGTACGCCTTTTATCCTTGCAATATAATGTTTAACGGTTAGTCATCAAGTTTTATTTTCCTTGTCTACCACCTTTAAGTTCCAGTTTCGATTTGAGATTTTTCTACATTTGCACTTGTACGTAGGGAAAAATTATTCTTGCGCTTTAATTACCCGCCTTATAAGGCCATCGTTGTTTCATTCTAGACATTTTCAGAGGTGTTGATACCAACGGCGTCCCTAGCAACCACGCAGAAACATTCAAGATATTTTATTTTCACGGTATATGACTCAGCTCTCAGGGTATCAAAAAGTTCATGGTATCTTTATTGTTTCTGTCGAACAACTTTTAAGCACCGCTGACAGATCTATTAAACATTAATGAGTATATGTTCATTGCCAACAAGTTGAAAGTTATAATTCCCCTTCTACTCGTGGGAAATTTTTTTAGTAGGAATTCACAGTCTTTTTGCATTTATACCTGGTTCATAAGGTACGTTCTAGACTAATTCTCTGGTTAGCCATGGTAACTTAAGAAATGTAAGAAACGGAACCTTAGTTTAAATATAATATTTAGTTTATCCTGTTCTTTTGATTGAAGTTTACTCAGTTTCAAGAGTTTTAAATCAAAGGCACCTTATTGTTGTGGTCTTATTTTGAAATTAAGATTTGGCTTTTTCGAATTTGACTATGATACTAAGACATGATAATCCTGTAATACGTTTTGAACAGAACCCTTCAAGTTTGCTCGATGAAGTTACCGGCAGTTCTTGTGGTATTCATTGTTCTCTGTCAAAAAACAGGAGCAGGTGAGATAATATCTCAAAACACTGGATAAGAATAAAAATACTTTGTTATAATTTCAAGGACTTCAGCTAAGAAATACTTCCTCCAAGCTAAAAAAAAACTTGAGATTGCATCAAGCATCTTGCTGATCTAAACGCCATTGGCCGATAGGCCATGCATGCAGTCGGCAAAAATGGAATGCAGGCTTGGAAATATCCCTGTTTTCAGTAGCGTTGCCTGACGGTTTCTGCTAATCTGGGGTAGCCATTCTTTAAGCTCAGTGACAAATATCAGTCCTAAATGGAGATTAAGATTAAGACCTCGAAATGAGGTCCTATAAAACAAGGTAAAATAGGAAAACAAAAAGATTAAATAATATTTTAACCAGTATTTCAACCACTGACAGTTCTGAGTTAATAAAGGTGTTTGGCAGATTTATATATTTAATAAGTCTTAGCAAATTACTTTTATAATAAATTGCCTTTGAGACATTTTCTGCCCTCAAATTTCAAATGTAAGTGCCGAACCTTCCTATTTGCAGCAGAGAGAAAAGAAGGTTAGGTACTGAACAAATTGAATCCGTAAACTGCCGTTTGTAAGCCCTGGTCTCAAACATATTCTTAAGGGGGTTTTTAGGAGCGCTTACAAACGGAGGTGCTTATATCCGTGGGGGTTTTTAACTGGAATAAAAAAAAGCTCTTTGAAACAAGCGTTGATCAAAAAACGTTCTGTATTTACTGGTTCAGAATGTCATAATAAATAGAATTAATTTCAACAACAGCTAGAAAAACCTAGAGGGGTGTTTATATCCGGGGTTTATAGGAACAGATTGGCCTCAAGGGGGTGGGAGTTGGGGGTTTATAAGTTGGAGAGGAGCTTGTAAGCAGCAGTATCTCAGGACGTTCTTCATTGTGCAACATGGAATCTCGTTTAAAGGCCCGTAGACAAAAGCGCCAACAAACTGTTGCTAGATCAGATTTATTTACTTCTGTGATTTAACCAACGTTATTAGTAGAAATTCTACGTTTAATTAGTTTGAATGATTTTACTTTGAATGACACGCTCCTAGGTGTTTTTCCAAACTCTATATTTGGGCAAAGCTGTATCGTTTAATGTTAAACCCACTGCACAATGCTGCTTAAAGCACCTCTTTCCAAACCACCTTAAACGCAACCTTGGCTAATATTTTCTAATGGCATCTTATCTTAAACGTTGCTCAAAGGGCAACTTTATACCAACTTTATTTGTACGGTGGAGCTTTTGCGCTCGCCTCGGCAGTAAAGGCAGGGTCGGTGATCGTAAGTGAGACCGTGCTGGAAATGCCATGCTGATGACCCCTAACAAGGATCAAACAGCTGTCCATGGCTGCCACTGCCGGGGTAATAAGGCTGTGCACATGCTTAAGGTGCTGGCCATACCGCGCTCGCGGAGTTGGTAGTGTGTGCTTCAGTTGGTAACTGCGGTACCGATTTTCAGCTTTTTTGTTTTGAGCAGATGCTTAAAGTTACTATATTTAGAGAACATGGTATAATGACTTATATACCATGATGGCTAAGCCAATCAGAGCTCTAGAATTGCATTATCATACTCATTTTCAATTGTTACTAAAATTGGCAATTTAGGGTCATTATTCCTGCGATATGGAATTAACTTTTATATTAACTTTGGCTGAGAAATTACGATCAATAGAGCCCAATAATCTGATCATTACGCTCAGCGTCTTTTGTGTGTGAATGCATCGTCCAAGCCTGAGAGGGCTGGCATGAGTTTTGAAGGAAACGTTAAACTTCCTTTTTGAAATAACAGTTGTCTTCTATACTTTTACCGTTACCCGCTAACATTTTTTCACAGAGGATGAAAGTGCAAGCGGCGAGTTATCAGGCAATGAAAGTAAGGAGTCATCGGAATCATCTCAAGTTGTGACCATAAACCCTGAGGATGAAGACAAATGCGAGCCTAACCCCTGTAGAAACGGGGGCACGTGTGTGAGTAACTACAATTATATTGACGGCTACGTCTGCGAGTGCGCCGATGACTTTGGTGGAATTACCTGTGGAGGTGGGTAGTATGGCTCTAATAGCGAGTATAACCAGTATCAAAAGGACTCTAGAAGGATGACAGGTCCAATCAAACATTGCCTGCTCGCCAAACGTTGATCATGAGTTTCTGGGGCATTTGTAAACTTTGTGGCAAAGCTTTTTTAACCTTTGTTAAAAAGTAAAAGTATGTCGACGACGGCAAAAAACGACCTGTATTTTACACTTAAATTGGTACATTCGTCTGACAGTTCTCGACCAAGTTAAGTCAAGGTAGAGAACGTTGCCCTGGCGATATGTTGACACCAATATTTCTTCTTAATTTTTGCCAACAGAACTGAAGTGCCGAATAACACTTCCACGCTTTTCGTCACCTCAGTGCCTCATAAAGAGAGAACTTAGCAGACACATCAAGAAAACACTTATAAGATTGACTTCTGCATCGGATAACCGTTATTCCAAGTAGGTAGACCAGAGTAGAGGATTAAACTTCGCATAAGCTTCACCTGTGGTGTGACAATTTCTTCCTCTGTTTATTCTATAAGCTTGTCTTTTTTTCCTACTCTTTTCTCCCTACCCAACGTGAGGATGAGCACTTTCACGTTATGAAAAACGTAGCGAGAGAGAACCTCTGTCGTTCTCGAATACATTATCAATCGTTTGAGCATCTCGATCTGTTGGCTGTCTCCCGATTGCCGTTTGCTGTAAACAAGATGCTTGACCTCTCTAATCTAACAACATGAAAGGCAGGCAAAAGTACCCATTCCAGGCAGGGTGTTGCTTGCTTTTAGTATCAAGCTCGGATACCACGTAGAAGGATACAACGAGTAGGTTGAGGGCGGAGGAGGCAGAGCGGGTCGGGGGAAGGTCGAATCCTCAAGATTACACCTTTTTGCAAAAGCTAGCTTATGGAATTTATTTATAATAAAGAAATTATTACAGACTCTCTCTTCCTTCCTTGTTCCTCCCCTCCCCCCACAAACTTCTTTCACTTTCGTGTCTTCCCTACCATCTGAGTGCTTGGAACAGGCTATAAATCACACTAGTCTTGCAACAATTAGGGTGGTTGCAAGTTGCGAAAATTTGTTCCAGAAAGTAGAGAGGGGTACTACCTTTTACAACAAAATTTGTAAAATGTCTTGTGTTCACGTCCTTTATAATGTGTGAAGATAGGTTTCACGTTTTTAGTATTCCCAAGATGGCAAAGAAATGCACAAGCTACCTTGAATACCCGATAGTGCATTTTCACTCTGGTGAGCATTTATTGGTAGTCGTGCTTTAATGTGATTTCCTTAAGCAGGTCAGAGGATCTGATGGTGCCAACGTTGTCAAAGAAAGGCGCAGCGAGCTTTGTTCAAAGTGCGTCTACGGATCCATTCACCATAGAGTGGTACATGAAAATGACAGACAACGCTGATATCAACAAAGATCTTGAGTCACACTTTACTCTCAAAGATCCTCGTTTCCACGAAACACCAACTTTGATTGACTTTGCAGTAGTATTTGAAGCCTTCTACAAACATCACAGGGTAACTATTTGGTTTTCCGTAGCATAGCTTGCACTCAGTTACTCTCATGTTTGAGATTTATACACACAATGGCTACTTCATTAAAGTACTAATAATTTTGTAGCCTCTTTGTCACGACATTGAAATGTTTATCGATTCTATACTGTAGTATTAGATACCTTCTCAGGAGCTGAATCTGTTTTAGTGTTCTGACTATTTTGTTAACATTTGAAAATGTTTGCTTCTCTTTAACTTTGACTAACAAGCTTGAAAAAGACCTAATCTCTTTCTTTCATTATTGCTTCTTTAAGTGTAGCTAACATGAGACTTATAATTATCTGTGAGTAACTGAGTTAATTAGACCATGAATGTAGATGATGAACAGTACGGGACCTAGTATGGACCCTTTTGGGATTAAGTCATCTGAAACCCGACAACCCACTTTTGATGAAATCAAATTTCTTTAGAAACGCAGTGCTATGAGTGCCTTGAAACTCGTTCCTGCAGTCGAAGAGAACTTTTTCAAGGACCGCTGTTTTGCAGATCAGCGGGTTGCAGGAGCTAATCCATTCCAGCTATGGCGAGTGACAAATAAGGAAGGTGAGGATATAAATATTATAGCTGCAGTGGCCAACACCTTTATCAAAATAATCGTAACTTGGTGTCTGAATCGTGATCAAAGTAGAACGACTTCTCATCTCTATTAAACAGGTTCCTACGTCACCTTGCCATGGTGGCAAAATTTCTGGATCTCAACAACCGTGGTCCTGAAAATATGCCGGCTAAAAAACGAAAAATGGCATGTATGACTTCCTCTGTGCATGATTGCACTCAGGAACAACTCGGTAGCCTATAGACCTGTCTTCAATCTTTCGACAATGAGAATGGCCGTCTCTGTCAAGATTTTTTGCTTCCATGATAATGTGGCTTCAAACTTCTCCTCTCCATTTTTTGTTTTGTTTATTCTCAATATTAAGCGGCAAAGTTAGTAAACCTTCAAATAAAGGGTGTCAAAAATCTCTGCAACCCAAGAAATGTATTTGTCGTTGTCGTTTTCGTTTTCTGTTTGTTTAATTTGCTGGTTTTTTTTTTCCTTGCCGATCGATTGAGCTATGAAATGCAGTCCTCTTTCACTTTCAGGAGAAAATGGTATTCAGTGGCAGGATCTTTTTGATGAGAAACTGAATAAGGACTTCAAATGGGCCGAAACATTTGAGGCGGCTCTTGGCACAGGAGATAAAGACGCCTTAGAAAAGGTTTATAGAACTAATAGTTTGAATATTCTTTTTATCTTGGTCGTGATAAACTTATTTCTAAAGAGCAAATAAAGTTCACGTTAATAAAAGTGCATGTTCATACAATGCGATTGCATGAGAGTTTGAATTTTGAAAAAAAGGATGTGATTAGAATTATTTGTTTAACATTCATTCATTCGGCATTCAACTCATTCATTCATGATTTTATTGAGGTTTTTTGAGTTTAATAATACCACGCCGCTAGTAAGCTTGACCTGTTCCAAAATTATAATAGTGGAAATATTTAGAATTTACAAATAAGTCATTTGCTAAAAAAATACTTTTGATGATATTAAGAATTACGTAGATCCTCGTAAGTCTTTGGCTTTGGCAGATATGAAATGTAATCAATTAAAAGGAAAACCTATAAGATCTTAATGTTTAAAATCACTTGTCATTGAAGCAATGAAATCTTTGTATTTGTGGTGTTGTTTCTTGCTTGGTTTGCAAGAAAATAATAGAATACAGTATTATTAAAACCTGCAAATAGAACTTCATTTCTTTTATTTTCTAGGCAATTGAAAATGGACAGGTTTATGTTAACATTTACCCCGCGCTGGATGGCGTAAAGATGCCGCAGGCGTTACTACATGATGTCAAGTTTAATCATACCGTTGTACAAATGACGTCACCGATAGCATTTTTTGTTGTCAGCGAAGCTGAGCTTGGTATAAAACGCCTTAATCCTGTTGCAATTCAGATGGACTATACACCAGACTCTAAAGTCTACACTCCGTTGGATGGTAAAAACTGGTTTCTCGCTAAATCGTTTGTGCAGAGAGCCGATTTCAACACTCTTCATTTGATAGAGAAACGTCTCAAGACTCACCTCTACTTAGATGCACCTTGTACTCTGTCGGAGAAATACTTCTCTGAATATCACCCCGTTTATCAGCTTTTAAGACAGCACTGCCGGGCAGCGTTGGAAACCAATAAGCTGTTTGAAATAAAGTTATTCGGTAAGATCTTTCTGTTTTTCAACGCCTTATTAGCTTTTCTTTGAATCCTTTAATATTGAAGCATGTTATTTAATAATACATGCATGTCATAGGCCTTGCCCCTCCGTGGCTTATACTAAGGACGATGATAAACCATTAAGAGTGAAAGTTTAAGAACGATTTCTTGAAACCAAGTTCGTTCAACTGACTTGACATCATGAGTTAAATCTTATTGGCAATCGCATCAAGCACAAATCAGGAGATTAAGTTCGACTTACGTAGAAGCAAATCCATGCTTCCACTGTTTTATTATTATTATTATTATTATTATTATTATTATTATTATTATTATCATTATCAGTATTATTATTATAGTAATAATAAATAACTGGAATGACCTTTACAAGACAATGAGAACTATACTGGATTTGACGGTGCGTGGAAGTTTTGACGTTAAAGTCAGATTTGTGCCACTTTTTTATTTATGTGTTATAAATAAATATTCTGTTGCTTTTGAAACAAAAAGGAAACGCTCTTTTTGCTTAAAAATGGTTTAATATCCTATAAAAAATGAGCATCAGACTCTTTCCAAAGTTCACAGAAATGTATCTGGGGAATAAAAGCCTCGGTGATAAAACTTCTTGGAAACCCCCACTCTTCCCCTTGCACGTGCTGCATCAGTTTATAACCGACCTGATATTTCATTTGTTAAACGATGCAAAGGAATTTTATCAAGATGATTGAGAATAACAGTGATTTTTGAAACAAACAGTTCGTCATTGTTATGATTTTGTCGTACTTTTTTCTCTCTCTTTCCTTGTAACCAGGTAAAAGCGCTCCCGTTTACAAAGTTCTAAGTGTTGACTATTCCAGTGCCTTAGAAATGCTCAATAAAGAGTACGAGAATATGATATTTGACGACTTGGATTTGAAAACAGACTTGAAGGTTAGCTGTCACCTTCTGTTAGCGGTCTATGAGTTTCTGAGTCTATGTTATAACTGGTTAAATTGAACGATAGTGTGCTTTATACTTACTTACTAGTAATAACCGAAGGTTACGGAGTGCGGGCGACAACGATAAAAAGTCAAAACGCTTTTGCTCCAACGCTGTGATGGGTGCTTCACGCGATAGATGGTCAAAACACACGTGATTAGATAACGAGGGATAGAAGGTTCAAAGGCGCGTGATCATATTGCTTTCTGTGCATTCCATTGATTCTTTGTGGAAGTCCAAACGACGCTGGCTACATACGTGCTGGGCATGGATAATAGCATCCTGGAGATTAGGATTACGGGTTCCTCTTGTCGCCCGCAACTAGCACTGCCTATGTACTCAAAGTAACATCTGGAGGATTTAATATACATATATAAAAAATGTATATTGATACAGTTCACAAAAACGTGCTTGCAAAGAAAGCAAAAACAATGCACGTAATATAAAATTACGTGTTAAGGACAACAAATGTGCTGTAATGTTAGACTGTAATCAGCTCATAAAACATAATTAAATTATTCAGGCTAAAAAAGGAAACTTTAAAAAACAAGGTTTTAAAAAAAGATGACTGCCCGTTAACACATTCTGCGAAGCAATAACTGGCCTTGCGCATCGTATGCGCTCTTATGCTTCTCTTCCAAGGTCGATGCAGTTGATAAGGCACCCATGCACCGGTGTTTTGGAAGATCATAAGTTCCAATCATGTATGGTAAACGAGATTGTTTCTATGTCCTAACCTTGACACATGGCGATTATCACAATATAGGTTCATTCCCAAGGAATTAATTAAAAAAGTCAATTTGAATTTGACTCTTATATCATTTTCCTTTAAACAGAAACGTGGGGTGGATGACCCGGAAAAGCTGCCATTTTATCCTTACAGAGACGATGGCCTTCTCTTGTATGCACAGTTGGACGATTTTGTAGATGCCTATGTTGATGCGTAAGTAGACAGAATGTTAC